TAAATCATGTAAATATTTGGGTTAATTGGACCTACCATTTTTATCACTTTATTGAAAGAACCATGAAATGTGCTTTCCACTGACGTGCGAAGAGTAAGTGTCTGATAACCTTTTGACCCTCAAGAGGAGGGTTAAACATGGATTCCTGAACTGCCTCAATGACGTCATAGTGTTGTCATATTCATGGCACATCCATAATCTAGAAACCCAATAAGCCTGGATAGCCGAACGCGTACAGCACAGGCGTCACGGCTCAAAGGTTGTTGGATCGAATTCCATCTGATTTTTTATTATTTACCTGTTTTCTGTATTTTTCTATCTTTATCCATTCAACTATTTTTTTCGTCAACAGTTGGGCACAAATCTTAACCGCTCGACGTACGTCACGATATTCGGGACGTGGGGGGGGGGGATCGTGAAAAGGACTCGGGATGGCAAATTTGGGGGGCAAGGGTCAAAGGTCAAGATGTGTAAACGGAGGGGGAATATTTCCCCCTTAACTTAAGGTATAGGAGGAAATACGGAATTGCGGCACAAATCTTAACGGCTCGACCTATGCTCTTAATATTCGGTGTATAGTGTGATGTGCAGGAAACCCATCACCAGCGCGAAATTGGAGGTCACAGGTGAAAGGGCAATGGGGGAAAGGTCGGATATCAGACATTTTCTGAGGACATGGCCTAATAGACAGAGTGGAAAACTTTTTTGTTTCAGCGCTGACCTACCATTTTTATCACTTTATTGAAAGGACCATGAAATGTGCTTTCCACTGACGTGCGAAGAGTAAGTTTCTGCACAGACGGACGTCGTCAGACTACGTAAGATGAGCTAATTAATAGACTTTATTGAAATTGATCAAGCAAAGGAAAACACTAATATAGTCCCCGAAGGAGGAGAAAGCGGGAAACTCAGTCTTGAAAAAAGATGTAAAAATGAACGGACTAGGAGCATAGGACACACTGTGCGATTTTCTACGCTGGCCGCTTGCGATCGATAAATACGGTGCCGGGTCCGCGCGGTGTGCTCGCGATCCCATACGCCCAGCTGATCGCTCGCATTCAACGCATTCAACCGGTTTTTCATCTCTTGCATACAAATACACCAGCGCGCCCAACAATGAACAATCGCGTTCGAACGCAATTGTTTTTAGCAGCCAATCAAGTGTAGCAACGAAAGCTAGGAAACGATTTAGAAAAATTTATAAAGCAGAAGAAAGCAGAATTTGAGATTTGTAAAGCAGAAGAAAGCAGAATTTGACATTTATAAAGCAGAAAACTTGAGGCACTACACTAATACTCTAGGCAGGCAGTCAGTTTACACAACTGCAAAAGAGTTATCATTAGCAAAATAAAACCCATATTCAAAAATTCATGATCAATTTACGGATTACGAAAGCAAACGACCAGACATTGGTGAAATCGATTAACAAGCACACAACTAGCCCACGTACCTGGAGCAGCTCCACTCGTTGCAGCCCCTCCCATTGGCACACCCCTACCAGCGGCCCGGCCCATCCCTGGACCACCCATCGCCCCTGGTATAGGCACACGGGGCACACCATCCTGAAATAGGTCAGAAACCTTTAAAACAACCTATCGGTACCAAACAATAGAGCAACTCGATGTGCGAAGCATTTCTGTTCATAATCCAGGAACCTTCCTTCTTGATTTTAAAAAGTTGAAAAATGTTTTTGTACTTGAAGTGGAAGTTAAAAAAAAAAGAAATTGCACAATTAACAACTCCTGCTCACAGTAAATTTCTGCTCAAGAATGGTCAATTCTACTTGTCAACTGTTACTCGAATGCAAACACTGCAAGACATACATCGGCTGGAGGTGGTCCTTCTACAGTCATTGACACTATGTTCTCGCCTCGAAGTAGAACTAGTCCGAGAACTCTTTTTTCTTCGCGCTCAGTGCCTTTACTCTTTGGTTTCAGCTTTCGAAACTCTTCGCAATCACCTGCACATAGGTAAATAATATACTCCATGACGTTTCTCTGCCTGCATTTGGTGACCAGCAATTGAACCATGTAAATATGAAACAATATAGCACCACAGATTTATGCTAATGACAGAAATTACCTTTAAGAAAAACCAAAAGATGAAATAATATGAATTTTCTTCACAAGTTTTTGCACACATCTTTTAAAATTGACACATTTTCCATATTTGGGAGTTTTACACGTTAATTAATGATAGACAGTTGATGGTTCCAATTACCAATGTGAACATATATCGCCAAATTAAATAAGTCTATAGACGTAAGATAAAGACATAGATGTTTAATTTATCTCTTTAGTCACTATACATACCAAGGATCAGGTTCATGTGTTTGTCGAAAGCTTTGAATGTGCCTATAAAGATTCTGCTGTCTTGCAATGTGACACGCATCCTGTAGTTCAGGTGCTGTGTCATCTTACTACTCTTTCCTATCACCTGTCAAGGACATAAATTAGATTATTAACTGGGCTTCATGTTCGTTTATTAATGATGTCCCGATGATCGATTGTAATCGAAAGTCAGTCGATTGCAGCAACCGACTAAATGCTCGATTATGAAAATAAATACCCGATTATCAAAAAATAAAATTATTTAAAATAAAATTTGCAAACATTGATGAAATGACTCTTTATTTTATATTCTAACCTACACCAAACATAAGCAAGTATAAAACTTTTACATAGCTTTTAGAATATTGTATTGTAAAAAATACTGTTTTATATATATCCATGATATATTTCAATATCTGGTATTTGTGATCAATGTCATGTTGGGACAAAGCACGCAGTTTGTTTTAAAATTTTAAATTTTTCACAGTGAGAGAATTAAGCTGCCTTGGCGGAGGTCTGCGCTCTCCGAGTGCTCTAGTTACTTTATGATTTCTTCTTACTAAGAGATTTTTCATGCCATACAGAACTCATGGTAAAGTTGATATGGTGATTATTACATAGTCTAGACTCTATACTCTAGAGATGAATATATATATTAACAAATTATATATGTGTTAAATAATATTATGTTATAAGCAATATGCCTAATTTCTTTGTGCTTTATTTTAACAAAGATATCATCTGGGTAGTGACCGAACCCATAATAGCAAGAGCATCATAACATACAGCATGACTCGGTTATAAAACACGAAATTCAACCTTTACATATATACCCCTACTTTACTACATGAAACTCAATATAAATGATATCGCAAGTAGTGTTAGTAGTAACTTTAATTTGTGTATATATTTCTTATTATAGAGATATAGCTTCAGCCGTCAAACATGGCTTTAGCCATTACCATCCTCTTGCGACAAGCATTCCTTGTATATATTTATAAATCAGGTCATAGGCCACACTGGAGCACGCATTTATGTCATTTCATTTCCCATAAGCCAAAAGTTGCTTGTATTTTGGTGACATTTTGAAAGGTAGATTGTGAAGTACACTAAGGCATGCAAATGTTGAAATTTGCGCATTTCGAGTGAGCCATGCTTCTATATATTATGATGCTCCTGATATTAGTGGAGCAGCCGTGCCCACATACCTCCTCTCATCATGCCTGGTGGGGGAGGTCCACGCATCCCTGGAGGGCCTCCCATACGTGGACCTGGTGGTCCACCACGTCCCATCATCCCTGGTGGACCTCCCATGCCCATTGGTCTCATCTGTGGTGGGGCAGCTGAATAGAGATAAAATGTTAATTTGAAAAAAAACATAACTAAGCATACTGTTTAAAGTGATTACGTCACGAATTTCTAGCACCAGCAAGTAGTATATTTGTGTGTTATTTGTACAAAATAAAATGTGTACAAAATAAAATGAAAATACAATTAGTGTTTCTGTTTACTTTTCATGCTTATATACCTTCTTTATATGCCCTAATTTGCCGGTGAAAAACAGAGAGACGCCAGTATCTGAACAGTACTGGGGGAATAGTGTTAGACAACAGAAATTACCAAATCGTCTAGATTTTTGCAAATTTAACCAATGTAAAATCATTTTTATCAGGTGAAAGTTTGAGGATGTATTTAGTAACGTTAGTTCTTACTTTTAATGTAAAAAAATGGGAATTTTTTTTTTACAAATTTCACCATGGAAAATTCGTGACGTAGTCAATTTAACATTTATTTTTTCCATACTATTCCACAACTACCACATTGCTTTGAACGTTATGCTACAACATGCATTAAAAACAGATACTTTCTACTTTCATAAAACTTGTTTTCCCCATTTTTCTAGTGGTGATGCAATACATTAATCAAAATCTTTAATGAATTGGCATCTAACAATAACACTGCATCAGTACTGGTTCTTTCCTCAATCATACGTGTATAACTACTTTTATCAGAAGGGAAGAAATGTGTTTGTATAGTCTTACTGTAAAACATAACTGGGATGGAACTGACAAATATGGAACATTGTTACGTATTTTAAATGTTGCACAGATTCCCTATTAACTACATGGGATAAACTGTCACAACAAAAATCACTCGTTCCAAATCACATATTTGGGTACTGTTCCAACACTAATGAAAACAGATAATAACATGTTGGAGTCAAGAAACATCCCAGTGTTATAGAACTTGCAATACCACACAGGAAATAAACAAATTAAACATGAATAGCACCAGAACTTACAGACTTGTGCCCCCCGAGCCTGAGGAGTCATCATTTGTGGAGAGGGACCACCTACTCCACGTACAGGGCCTTGTAAGCCTGTAGCAAAAATAGCAACAATGCACATTACGCGATATCAATATAAAAACAAGAGCCGCAGAGCGTCTGGGCTCATCTGAGGTCTGTTGCTACGGTTATAAACGTAAGAGTGTCAGTGTCTTTATAATTGATATAAGTATTACCTTACATATAATTATATTACACTTATATAAATATATGAGTGTGGGTGTATGTATGTATGCAATATGTATATAATGATGTACGTATGGGTGTCGAAATGATGGTAAAGTGTACCTTAATCCATTTGCCTGCACAGGCTATACGGAAGCTTGTCTTTTTTTTTGTATCTATTTTTTCTTCATGTTGTATATGCACTGCTTTGTACTGTATCACTCAAAATTACCATTTTAACTGCCCAACACTATTGCACTTTTCACTTCGTTTATATCTATACAATTGTGAGTGTGTGCGAAATATGTTTTGTTTGTAAAGTGGATATAATGGTGTATGAACCGAGTGTCGAAATGATGTGCTAAAAGGGTACTACTTGTACAAAATTTGATGAAGTTTTTTTGTGTGTTTTTAGTTTTTCCTTCATGTTGTTCTGCACTGCTTTGTACTGTATTCACTCAGGAAACATCATTTCTACCTGCTAAACATTTACCGTAATCACTTTACCTGTACAGAATATGCTGAAGTGTTTTTTCTCGTTTCTATTTTTTCTTCGTGGTATATAGCACTGTTTTGTATTGTATCACTCAGAAAGCTTCTATTTTTCTTTTATATATAACTGCTCCAACACTTACCTTAATCACTTTACTTGTACATAATATGCTGAAGTTTTTTTTTGTATATATTTTTTCTTCATGCTGTATATCAATGTTTTGTACTGTATCACTGTATCACTCAGAAATTTTGGGGATCGTGGGTATATTTGCTATAGTTTATAGTATGTACAATGTTATGTTGGACCACAATGGAAATAAGTGTGTTAGCCACGCTTTTTGTGTTTTCATCCTCGATAATTTTCTAGCTGCATTTTGTTTTATTTATGCTGTTATCGATGTAATGTATGCTTTGTTAATTATCGAAATAAATAAATCAATAAAAAATCAAAACATTTAAGTCGTGCGTAGTGACACCTTTGTTAGGCGCAGATATGCAGATACACAGTTGCGTACACATCATTTCAGCAACCATCTGCATTCTGCATTCTGCATACCTCCCAAATCCCATTGGTTGATACAAATCGCGTGCCTGAAACTCATGTTTTATGGTGCATTGCGACCCTAACCCTAACCCTAATTTAAAAAAAAAAAATTAATTGTTGTAAAAATTATATTTGTTCTTCTTAAAATTTTGTAAATAAATCATGTAAATATTTGCGTTAATTAGAAAAAAATAGTTAAATGGATAAAGATAGAAAAATACAGAAAACAGGTAAATAATAAAAAATCTGATGGGATTCAATCCAACGACCTTCGAACCGTGACGGCTGTGCTGTACCCGTTCGGCTATCCAGGCTTATTGGCTTTCTAGATTATGGATGTGCCATGAATATGAGAACACTGTGACATCATTGAGGCAGTTCAGGAATCCATGTTTACCCTCCTCTTGAGGGTCAAAAAGTTATCAGAAACTTACTCTTCGCACAGTCAGTGGAAAGCACATTTCATGGTCCTTTCAATAAAGTGATAAAAATGGTAGGTCAGCGCTGAAACAAAAAAGTTTTCCACTCTGTCTATTAGGCCATGTCCTCAGAAAATGTCTGATACCCGACCTTTCCCCCATTGCCCTTTCACCTGTGACCTCCAATTTCGCGCTGGTGATGGTTTCCTGCACATCACACTATACACCGAATTTAAGAGCATAGGTCGAGCCGTTAAGATTTGTGCCGCAATTCCGTATTTCTCCTATACCTTAAGTTAAGGGGGAAATATTCCCCCTCCGTTTACACATCTGTGACCTTTGACCCTTGCCCCCCAAATTTGCATCCGCGAGTCCTTTCACGATCCCCCCCCCCCACGTCCCGAATATCGTGACGTACGTCGAGCGGTTAAGATTTGTGCCCAACTGTTGACGCACAGACGGACGTCGTCAGACTACGTAAGATGAGCTAATTAATAGACTTTATTGAAATTGATCAAGCAAAGGAAAACACTAATATAGTCCCCGAAGGAGGAGAAAGCGGGAAACTCAGTCTTGAAAAAAGATGTAAAATGAACGGACTAGGACATAGGACACACTGTGCGATTTTCTACGCTGGCCGCTTGCGATCGATAAATACGGTGCCGGGTCCGCGCGGTGTGCTCGCGATCCCAACGCCCAGCTGATCGCCTCGCATTCAACGCATTCAACCGGTTTTTCATCTCTTGCATACAAATAACACCAGCGCGCCCAACAATGACCAATCGCGTTCGAACGCAATTGTTTTTAGCAGCCAATCAAGTGTAGCAACGAAAGCTAGGAAACGATTTAGAAAAATTTATAAAGCAGAGAAAGCAGAATTTGGATTTGTAAAGCAGAAGAAAGCAGAATTTGACATTTATAAGCAGAAAACTTGAGGCACTACACTAATACTCTAGGCAGGCAGTCAGTTTAACACAACTGAAAAGAGTTATCATTAAGCAAAAATAAACCCATATTCAAAAATTCATGATCAATTTACGGATTACGAAGCAAACGACCAAGACATTGGTGAAATCGATTAAAAGCACACGACTAGCCCACGTACCTGGAGCGCAGCTCCACTCGTTGCAGCCCCT